AGCTCAGCCCCACGTGGGCCTTCTGATGTGGATGAGGTTGCAGTGATGGCAAAAGCTCTTCCCACCCTTGCATCAGTGAGGCCACTCACCTGTTGGCTCTTTGGGGCTCAGGGAGGAAGGCAGGCCCACAGCAACTCTTCCCGCACGGCTGCCCTGGTGGGGCCTCCCTGGCCCAGGGCTCCTCAGGTGCTGGGTCAGCCCCATGCTCTGAGGGAATGCCTTCCCACACTCCTGCACTCCTGAGAGTGGGGCCGCTTCTGTGGGCTATGGCCCCTTGGGTTCCACCAGCAGGTCCTTCCTCCCTCCTCACATACACAGCATCTCTCCCCAGGGGGGTTCTCCGCTGGCCAACAAAACCGAGCTCTGGGCAAAGCTCTTCTCACACGCATGAGATAGCTGCTGCCCTTCCTGCCCTGGGGGGCTGCCCAACCAGCAGGGCCCCAAGCACTCCATGTGGGGACCCTAGGAGCCTTCCTCCCAGGTCCATCCCTAGATATCCCCCCAGGAACCCAGCTGCCTCAGGGCCAGGTTCCTCTGCACCAGAGCTCCTGCTCAGCCGCTTGTTTGGCCTGAAACAGAAAGACCAAGCAAATGTCACCTGTTCTCGGAGTCTGCGGAAGCTCACACTGTGTGCACAAAAGGACAGGGTGCTCCTAACGTGCTGGACCCCACATCACAGAGCAGAGGCATTAGAAACCCAAGGGCTGGTGTGGGAACACCTTCCTCTAGGTAATAAGGAAGTCTGGTGAATTCAGCAAAATACAGTTCAGCCCAGCCTTCCCTTCCACACAGCCTAGGCCTGGAGAGAATTCTTCATGGGGAGGGCTGATCTAGATCAGCGTGGCTTCTCTTAGTTCCCCTCAGAACTCCCTCCCCGTGGAGCATCTGGGTGGTTCAGTTGGATCAGGTCATGCTCTCAGGGTCCTGGGATCGAGCCCCACATCATGGTCCGTTCTGTGAGGAGTCTGCTTGAGATTCTCTCTCTGCCCCTCCCCCAACTGCACACACCTGTGCTTGCTCTCTCCCTCTCTCTGAAAAATAAGTAAATAAATCTTAAAAACAACAAAAACCTCCTTTTAAGGTGGTAAGCCTCACAGTGACCAAGGGGAGTCACCCCGTGGACTCATTCCTTTATGGGACAAGCATTCAATCGCACTCTTCCAGTGGCAGTGGCAGCACCCAACGACTATCAAATGGGCAACACCCCAAGTGTGTTCCTGGCATGAGGCCCTTACAGGCGCTGCCCTCTGCCTGGAAAGCTCTCAGCTCAGGTAACAGCAAGTCTCCTTCTCTCATCCCTTTGCTCAGCTCCCCCTTCCTTACTTCTTCCACTTTCTACTGCAGTCAGCTCACCGGGGCCACGGCACTCACTGTCTCCCTTCCCTGGTCCAGTCTGCTCATTCCTCACTGACCACCTTCTCACGCACTCATCACCCTTCTATTTGTCTCCCCCTTGCCACAACCAAATATCCACAGCAGCAGGATCTTCCTGTTCTGTTTCTGGAGTCATGGCTGGCACAAGGCAGTTTTCAATAAATACTTGTCGCATGAGTAAAAGAGAAAGCACCAGAGCCAATCCAACTACTATGACCTCAAATGACTGGCCCAGAGTTGGCACCAGCAGCAAACCATGCCCCAGAGAACCAGTCCATGTGGGATAGCTGTCCAACCAGTCCAGTCAGATGCAGAGGAGTTGAGGGCAAGAAGGGAGACAAATAGGCCCAAACCATCTCAACACTGGGCAGCAGCCTCATGGTCCCCTGAGGATGCCTTGGTCCCCAGGGATGAGTGTTGGGGATGCCATCAAGAACACATGACCATCCAGTGACCCATGAGCCAGACCCAAGCACTGGATGCTCCTGACCTCCTCTGACCCTGGAATGTGAGCTCCCCCTGCCTGCCCCACTCCTAGGAGCTGCCCCAAGGACAGCGACAGTGCAGGGGGTGGTATGGAGCAAAATGGACAGCACCTGACTGAGGCCAGTGAAGACCTCTCTATATACTTTTCAGATCTGGCTGGTGGGTGTGGATATCTACTCATTCTGCCACCACCTGGGAAGAGCCTCACCTGTGATCCTCCTTTGCTTGTGAACACCACCAGCTTCCCTCTTTCCTGGGTCTCTCCCTGCCCCCTAAGGAGGGGCTAGTTTCAGATCACAACTGGAAAGCTTCCATGGAGCTTCCCAACCAACAGACTTCTTTCTTGCAAACCAGAAAGCCCAGGGAAAACAGCCCCAGCCCTTCTCTTTATCAAAACATCCAGCTTTCTCCCACAGCTAACTGTCCTGCCCCTCCCTCACACCCCTGAACAAGTACCTCTGAGTACTCCTCTGTTGTCAGACCATGGTTCTCTCAGTCCTTATAGCTGAAGGATGGCAGCAGGTTTGGAAAACAGAAATGTGTCTGCAGAGAAGAAATGGGCCACAAGTGGGATCAGTACTGCCCTTCTGCCCAAACTTCACACACACACACACATATATATTTTAAGTTTAAGTCTTCCTTTATTAGCACTAACACAGAACTGAGTGAAGGTGTGATGGTTAAGAAAAATTCAAGGTAAGATTAAGGAATTGAAATTATATAGCCTCTAAGGTCTTTTCCAACTGTTAGCATCATGCAACTCCATAAGGCTAATACATACTAAGGTATTAGTTAAGGAAATACTAATACTAAGGAATACTAATACTAAGGAATACTAATACTAAGGAATACTAATTCATACTAAGGTACTAGTTAAGGAAATATTGTTATGCCCCTTAGGATATTTACAGTTTAGAAGACTATAGTGCCATAAACCTAAAACACATAGTTCTACGCTTAAGAAAAAAAGGGGAGACAGGTCAAAAAGATACAGAAACCAACTTGGAAATTACCACTGGGAACTTTGACTTCGAATGGCAAAATCTGGAGAACCATTTGAAAAATAGATTAATAATGATAATAATGAATTGTAAACCAAAGAATGAGGTATCTGTAAGTCCAAAATAATACAAATGAAGGATCACTGGGTGGCTCAATGGTTTGGTGCCTGCCTTTAGCCCAGGGATGGTCCTGGGTCCTGGGATCAAGTCCCACATCGGGCTCTCAGCATGGGGCCTGCTTCTCCATCTGCCTGTGTCTCTTCCTCTTTCTGTCTCTCACGAATAAGTAAATAAAATCTTAAAAAAAAAAAGATTGAATATAAGGAAAAGGAAAAAAAAATCATCCTTAGAGAATTCCAATAAATGTAGAAGGAACAGGAAAGAAGAAAACCACCATGGAACTCCACAGTAATCTTTGTTGCACGGAAAATTCACCAATGAATGCTAAAATTAGTGGCACTTCTGAGCTCATGCACATTTAGAAACTGCCATTGTATCCTGACTTGAAATTAGGAGCCATTATAGCATAGCAATTAGTTTTGTTCCAAGTAATAGTCATTATAGATTTTATTTATAAAAAAATTATTATTATTTTACATTAAACTGTACAAACTTGAGAAATTGGAAGTTCACCTGGGTGTTAAGAACAAAAAAGTAGAGATCCTTGGGTGGCTCAGTGGTTTAGCGCCTGCCTTCAGCCCAGGGCGTGATCCTAAAGTCCCCGGACTTTGTGGGAGTCCCACGTCAGGCTCCCTGCATGGAGCCTGCTTCTCCCTCAACCTCTCTCTCTCATGAATAAATAAATAAAATCTTAAAAAAAAAAAAAGGAACAAAAAAGCGTATCCCAAATTTGACCACTTCCCAACCACTCTATCAGCCATTCCCCTAGTCTGAGCTGAGCTACCTCTTGCCTGTAGTAGTTTCCCAACTATTCTTCCTCCTTTCTATTCACGTATACTTTATTCTCAGCATTAGCCAGTAAACTTAAAAAAAAAAAAAATCAGATGCCTTTAATCATTTATGTAAAACTATCCAATGGCTTTGTCTAGCTTAGAAGAAAATTTGCTTATTACTTTGGCCAAAGAGGCCTATATGATCTGATTCTAACCTACTTCTCTGACCTCTTTTGTTACCATTCTCATCCTTCTTATTACTCCTTTCTAGCCCAAAAATAACCTTAGGAATATTAGGGAAGACCCTTCTGAGGTATGCTCCCCTGCCTTTTACCTGCTTAATTTTTTTCCCATGGCATTTATCACTACATGAAATATGTTTTGATTCATTTTCTTTACCTGATCTCCAATTTGAACGTAAGCTTATATGGGAAAAGACTTGGTTTGTCTTGCTTACAAACTATAGCCAAATACTTATTTTTAAAAAGGATTTTATTTTATTTATTCGTGAGAGGCACGGAGAGAGAGAGAAAGAGAGGCAGAGACACAGGGCAAAGGGAGAAAGAAGCTCCATGCAGGGAGCCCGACGTGGGACTCGATTCCCCAGTCTCCAGGATCATGCCCTGGGCTGAAGGCGATGCTAAACCGCTGGGCCACCAGGGCTGCCCTAGACACAATACTTAAAACGATACCTATACTAGAGTGAGCCCTCAAATATCTGAATATTTTTAAAACACTGAAGCGTAAAAAGTGGGGAAAAAAGCAGAAGGCCTGTATTAACAGAAGTAGACTTCTATTTCTGAAGTCTGTGCAAAAAATGTAAGTCTTTAATATAAAGAAAAAGGAGTACTTTTAACTACATTAATTTTATAAATTCAGTTGCTTAAAAAAACCTTGAAAAATAAATATGACATTGCTGACTCAATTTGGAAATTTGCAAGAATCTTACATGAAAGAAAAATTTATTTAAGTATAGATTACTGGTTTAAAAATACAAGGGAGGGGAGGAGGGCGGGGGGTGGGGGTGAATGGGTGACGGGCACGGAGGGGGACACTTGACGGGATGAGCACTGGGTGTTATTCTGTATGTTGGTAAATTGAACACCAATAAAAATTAATTTATTAAAAAAAAAATAAAAAAATAAAAATACAAGGGAAAAGACAAATTTACAAAAGCATTATTATACAACTGATTTCTAAACTCAATACTTCAGAAATACAAAACAATGATCATTACCCCCAAAAAGTCACTTTATTGAAACAAATTGATTTTTCAGTTGGTCTGTAACTCTTTTCACTCAAGTTTACAAATATTATTGGATTTTTCAGTTTCATCCCATATCAGAACTTTATTTTTGACGTGTCTTCTTCTCAAAGTAGTATATAGTTATTTCTGGCAATTAATGTCAACTATAGGAAGATTATAGGGAATCTAATATCTAAATATATAGAATTTAATATGGTTGCTGCTTTGGAAACAGTTACCACTCTGAGTTAATCTACACTAAGACTAAGACCTATGTAATGAAAGGCAAAACATTAATGGGCAATATATGAGGATTGAGATCAGAGAGTCTAAGAAAAGACAATGTTTTCTTATACTGCAGATCTGCTAGAAAAGACTCCATTATTTACTTTGGTATTACTGCTAGAGAAGCAGTTTCTGCTAGAACACAAGCTGGCCATATACTTGTCCATTTTATGTTTCCTTTTCTAAACAACAGCAGACTTTAATAATTAGACTGATGAACCAAATAAGCAGACACCTTTAAACTACCATATATTTTAACTGTAAAATAAATTATTTTCTTAATTGGTTTTGCAGCCTTGTGTCTAGAAAGGCAATAAAACCCATTCTGTTCCAAAATTACAAGGCTGACTCAGAGGCTATTTGTAAAATGCCTGGCTGTCTTCTATCACCAGTCATGAAGGTGGGCCTTCATGAACTCAGTAACTTAATACATGTAAAAATGACCTCATCCATCAATATAATGTTGAACCAGTAAAAGCAAAAAAGTATAATCATAAGGTAGGGATTGGGCTATATAAAGCAAGAGGGAAATATCCTCTTATATAACATAAGAGGAATACATATGGTAATAAAAATTATAATAAACTTGTAAAGAGATGATTCTGGTTTACATGTATATCTGCTTAAACTGACTGAATGATTGGAATTTTCTTCTCCTAACAGAACTCCTCCTCATTATAAACTAAGCTGGTCTTAGTGTCTTATAAATCTCTTATTTCCTCAGATTTATCTATTGTACCCTCACTTACAGTCATTTAACTTATAAGCTGGACCTGCCCAGCCTGCCTATAAAGCCTCTCTTCAAAAAGATACCATATGCATTTTTTAGTAAATACTGCACTTCAAAACAGTTTATAAAGAACCAGCAACTGGCCCTCCAATGTAAATACTTCTCATTTCATATTATCACAGAAGCAGTGCAGTTTACTAACCACTCCTTCCTTACAGAAAATTCAGTAGCTATAAAAATTTTTTCTGTTTCAAAACAATTCAATACTTATTAATTCCAAAGATCCGATCACCATGTAGCTGTGGCATTTTAGGAATTAGCACACTCTGGAGAGAAGCTGCGTTTAGGATGAAGTGAGTTGGATCATACTTCGTATAGAAACTTGCCAGAAAATATCTGTAGAAATAAAAATTTTTAAATTCTATCATATATAACATGTAAAACTTGTAAAAAAATTTAAAGGTTAACAAAAAGGTCACTGAAATACCTAATAAATACCTAAAAACAGAATCACTTCTGAGCACGAAAATAGTTTTACAGTTTGGGGCCTAAATTAATTTGGGATTAAAATTTTTTTTCATTTAAGTTTGATTTGCCAACATATAACACCTCGTGCTCACCCCATCAAGTGCCCTTCTCAGTGCCCATCACCGAGTTACCCCAACCCCCTGCTCACCTCCCCTTCTGCAACCCTTTGTTTCCCAGAATTAGGAGTCTCTCATGGTTTGTCTCCCTCTCTAATTTTTCCCACTCAGACAACATTTAAAGCCATCTATATAGCACTGATACTTTTCAGAGTGCTTTTGCATTTTCTTATTTGATCATCATTTGTCAGGTAGGTGGGGCATACAGTGTTACCCAGATTTTTAGATAAAGAAACAGGCTCAAATGCATTACCTTGTTCAAGATCTTGTTGTTATATAAGAAATTTAATCACAGAATATTTGAAATCATACCTGTGGGTCAAAAATATATGTTTAGAAATATGGATGTTGTACACAGGTACATTTTAGTTGACTATTTTGTGATAACTCTTATTGAAAATTCAGGATAAATGTCAGGCTTTTTACATTAATTATAATGTAATCCTCAACACTGTATAGACGAGGAAACTGAGGTTTTCAAAGAAATGGCCAAAAATCATACAGCTAGAAAGCAGTAGAGCTAAAATCCAAATCTAGGGCTGTTTAAATAACTATTAAGACTGTTACTGCATTTATCTTTGTTAGATCATACAAATCATTTAGCTTTTTTTTTTTTTGTCATTTAGCTTTTGATGTTAATTTTATATAGGGCTGAAACAAAAATTTAAAAAATTTCCTCAAAGTGCTATCAATATAAGGAAAAAGAAACCTACCACTTTATCATCAATTTATTCTTTTCATTTGAAAATGCCTTCCTTTCTCTCACATCTGTCTAAAATCTACCCTTCCTTAAGTCCCAATTTAAGGAATCCTAATGCCTCCAAGAATTCTTTCCAGTTACTCCAGGCTGCATTGATTTTATCATTGATGCATTACTACATGTAAGCTATGTGGTACACAGTGTTTGATTAAGATGTATTTAAAACATCCACTACACATACGCAACTATACTGAGTATGGAATTCAAAGCAATCTATGTACTTATAAATTTTTGCAGAAACAAACCATTTACAATAACAGATAATACAAAGTGGCATAAATAAGGGATATGTAATAATACTAAAGATGTTCAAAATAGGGCAGCCCTGGTGGCTCAGCGGTTTAGCGCCGCCTTCGGCCCAGGGGGTGATCCTGGAGATCTGCGATCGAGTCCCACATCGGGCTCCCTGCATGGAGCCTGCTTCTCCCTCTGTGCCTCTGTGTGTCTCTGCCTCTCTCTCTCTGTGCATCTCATGAATAAATAAGTAAAATCTTAAAAAAAAAAAAAAGATGTTCAAAATAGAGCATTATTACTTAAGGTTGGGTGCTAAGGAAAAGATCTCATTGAGGAGTTATGATATAAAACTTTTTTTTTTTAAGATTTTATTTATTTATTCATGAGAGAGAGAGGCAGAAACACAGGCAGAGGGAGAAGCAGGCTCCATGCAGGGAGCCCGATGCGGGACCCGATCCCGGAACTCCAGGGTCATACTCTGGGCCGAAGGCAGGCACCAAACTGCTGAGCCACCAGGGATCCCCCTAAAACTTTTTTTTTTTTTAAGATTTTATTCATCTATTCATGAGAGGCACACACACACACACACACACACACACAGAGAGAGAAAGAGAGAGAGAGAGGCAGAGACACAGGCAGAGGGAGAAGCAGGCTCCATGTAGGAAGCCCAATGCGGGACTCGATCCCAGAACTCTGGGATCACATCCTGAGCCAAAGGCAGACATTCTTTTTTTTTTTTTTTTTTAAGATTTTTTATTTATTTATTCATGAGAGCCACAGAGAGAGAGGCAGAGACACAAGCAGAGTTCGAGAAGCAGGCTCCCTGCAGGGAGCCCGACATGGGACTCGATCCCGGACCTCCAGGATCAGGCCCTGGGCTGAAGGCAGGTGCTAAACCGCTGAGCCACCTGGGCTGCCCAAAGGCAGACATTCAATCGCTGAGCCAACCAGACATCCCAATAGGATTTAAATCTTGAAAGAGTAAGAAAGATAAATTAGGAAAGGAGAAGGTATTACAGGTAGGAGAAATGATTTGAACAAAAGCATAAACATAGGCCTATATATAAGTATCAAGAAATGCTGCTTAGAAGAACTAGACCAAGTGGGAGTTGGGTGGGGGTAAAATATTCACATAAAGAAAAAATGAGGTAAGAATCATTTTGTGGAAGGCCCTGATACCAGATAATAGGAGTTAATTTAAGGTTGAATGCTTTACAGATAGATATTATCTATAATTTATTTCTTCTGGCATCATATTGAGCTATGTACTATTAGTGAGAATTTCATTTATGAGCAAACCATGCAGGCTGGGCGATAAATACAGGATTCAAGCCAGGTCTGTTCTACAATGAAAACCTAACGTTTGTTGTCAAAAACTATACAGCAGTCTCTCCCAAGGAGTTTGAACATCTAATGTGGGGTGGAGGAGGTGTGGATCAATGAAATTCATCTGAAATTATCCAAATCCTCATTTAGGGAGATTAATCTGATAGTGTAATACAGAATAAGATTATGTGTATAGCTTTCTTATAAGCAATTTAAAAATATGAACTAGAATACATTTTGACCTGTATATCCTAGAATGTCTAAAAATACTGATGGGCACATTATATTGTCTCCATATATTACTGACTGAAGTAAAAAATGGTTTATTACCAGCCTGTCAAAGATTTTGCTTGTATTTTATGCTCTAAGGTAGCTATCTATCAGTAGAGGCTTCAACAAATATTCTGTTTCTAACTGAAATTCAACATAATATCCAATATCCAATCTTCTTCATACCTAAAAATTTCCATCACTTCAGAATTATTGGAGAAATTGTGAAAAACTTCCGTGAAGATGTAAACTGTACTCCATAGTCCAATTGTTCCCAATGAGTTAAAAGCCTTGCTTTACCCTGGTCAGGAGTTTCAAAAGGTGTTCCTTTTACTGCATGCAAAAATACATACATCCCCAGATTATGGATAACATTCGTTAAGGTCCAAGCAACAGGAACACTGAAGAATGGAATACTGAGTAGGATAATACAAAGCAAGCCAACTCCTAATGCATATGTCAGCCACAAACCTCGTCTGCTCATTACACGGGTATTTGGATTCACCTCACTGTGAGCAACTCCAATATTCATGTTTGCTCCGCCGCCCCACTCCCAGTGGTGGGCTCGGAACAGCCACCCTTATATTTGAAATGTATGAGAGAACTGGGTAGATGACAAAACAAAGACATTTCTCACCTTTTAGCAATTAACCATTTACAGAGCCTTCTGGGACTTATGAAGCACTGTCACCCATGCTATTGAACTAACACTCCACAAAACCCCTTGATGTTATCACCCCACCTCTTAAAAGGAGTGAATAGCAAATAAAAGGCAGATACAAAGCTAGACAGACTCTATTTAGAGAAAGTCTAGAGAATACAGAACAATTTGACAAGAGTGGTTACTACTAGGGAATAAAATCTGGAGAACTTTCAAGTTTTACTATATAAACTTGTATATTACTTGGATGTTTTACCATCAGCAGGAATTCTAAAAGAAACTCAAACTCTGGGACCCCTGGGTGGCGCAGCGGTTTAGCGCCTGCTTTTGGCCCAGGGCGCGATCCTGGAGACCTGGGATCGAATCCCACGTCGGGCTCCCGGTGCATGGAGCCTGCTTCTCCCTCTGCCTGTGTCTCTGCCTCTCTCTCTCTCTCTCTCTGTGTGTGTGTGACTATCATAAATAAATAAAAATTTTAAAAAAATTATTAAAAAAAAATAAAGAAAGAAACTCAAACTCAGTGATACACAGTAACTTTAAATGTTGCTTGGTTAAGAAAAAAATGTGAGTTGGAAAGTGTATTAATCCTTGTAATCTCGGGATCCCTGGGTGGTGCAGCGGTTTGGCGCCTGCCTTTGGCCCAGGGCATGATCCTGGAGACCCGGGATCGAATCCCACATCGGGCTCCCGGTGCATGGAGCCTGCTTCTCCCTCTGCCTATGTCTCTGCCTCTCTCTCTCTCTCTCTCTCTCTGGGACTATCATAAATAAATAAAAATTTAAAAAAAAATTTAAAAAAATCCTTGTAATCTCAGACACTGTGTTGCTTTACAGAACTGGCTCTTCCTGAGTATAAGATGCATACCTGTAGTGACAGTCCTGTAAGAGAGCCCTTGGGTGCTCTCCAGCAGCCATATTCAATGCTTAATGGATGACTGGATGGAGGGAGGCAGTGAGCAATGGGCAGATGGGAGCAAGGACATGCTCAGATGTGCGTCCTGAAGAAAGGAATCCCCAGTAGGTTCTAGATACAGCTTGGAAGGCAGAATAAAGGAAAAGATGGCTGGAAAATAAAAAGTCCAAGTTAATAGGTAAACAAGAAAGAAACAAAGAAATGGACTGCAAAGATGTTCATGAAGGAGGGAAATTAAACCAAAGGACTTTATTTTAAAGATATATTTATTCTATATATATAGAGAGAAAGCATGAGTATGGGGAGGGGCAGAGGAAGAAGGAGAGACTCTCCAGCAGACTCCTCCACTGAGCGCAGAGCTCAGCGTAGGGCTCCATCCCACCACCCTGAGATCATGACCTGAGCTGAAATCAAGAGTTAGACATTTAGCCAACTGAGCCCTCCAGGACTTTTATCTGATGAGGTCATTGGAGCCGGAGGAAGGTCTGTAGAGCAACAGAAGTCATTCAAAAATATCTTTTCAATTTAAGTCAAGAGATGTGTTCCAAGTGGCAGAAACCCATGGTATCTGTATGATTGCCAGGGCAGGCGAAACAGAGGCAGAAGCAGACAGCGCGGAAGTCGTGGCTTTGATACACATAGGGATGACACGAAAATGGAAATAGCAGACCCACTGCACACAGACCTTTAGAAGGTTAACAGTCAGAGGCGACGACGTCAGTGTGAGACATCAGGCAGAAGCTGGACCAGCTGCTGCAGACACAGCCAGGACAGAGAGGCAACAGGCTCATCCCCTATGCCCAGGACTGCACCCATCACCAAGTCGCATGCCTGAGGCGGCAAAGGCTGGTTCCACTGGACTCTGCTATCTGGCACATCCTAAGCATACTCTCACCTTTCCACTGCTGATGTAAGCCCAGGCAGGTGAGGGCAGCCCACCAAGTGCTGCCCATCAGTTGTTCATGTCCAGTGCTCACAACCATCTTCTGTGGTACGTACTTGCGCCACTGAATTGTGACATCTCTGATACCCCAAGCATATGCTAAAGCCCTCACTGTGATAGGGCCTTTCAGAAAAGTAATTAAGATAATTAAGAGTAGGGCTCTGATCCAGCAGGACTGATGTCCTTATGAGAAGAGACACCAGAACTCATTCTCTCTCTCTCTCTCTCCCCCACTCCCACCCCAGTACGCACAGGCACAAAGGTACATGTGAGAACCAGGCAAGAAGGTGGTGTCAGCAACCCACCCTGCTCACACCTGGATCTTCAACATGTAGCCTCCAGCACTATAAGGAAATAGATGCTTGTTGTTCCTGCCCCCCAGTGAATGCTAGTCTATTAGGATAGCCCTAGCAACGAGAGCAATGCTATTACCTACCCCATTTTGGCGATGAGAACTGAGAGCCCATGTATAAGCAGCTTCCAAAGGCAAAGGCATGATTTGAACCTTTGGTCTGCTCCCCACAATGAAGCAGAAAGCCAGAGAGCCTCCAGGATGGTACTCGGGAAGCCTGAACGCAGGGCAAGGGAGCGAAAGGAGTACTCCGGACACTCAGCACTGAGCATCGTTGTTACCTGGTGAGGAGACTTCTAACCCCCTGATTCCCCCCGGGGGAGGGGGGGTGGCGGGGGGGGCAGGCTGTATATCAACAGCAGAAAAACCTTGTCTCTTACCTGTCTCTCCAAGGGTGGGACTCCTGAGCAGCATCCCATGTGGGCTGGGGTCCTCTGGGCTGGGACTGAAGCCTCAGTGATGTCTGCTGTCCCAGAGGCACTGTCCCTCTGGAGAGGACTTCTTGCCCCTGTGTGTAGCTACCACCTGGAAACAAGGACACAAAATCTGACTTCTGAAGAAAAGACTGTCTAAAGGAAACAATTCCTGGAAATGAACACAGTCAGGGTTAGGGTTAGTCAAACAGACACAAAACAAAGCACACAAGGGTTGCTGATGCCTCACATATGTTTTTCCCTGGCAAAACTCCCTTCCTACCTCATTCTGTGATTCATCTAGCTCCCTCTCCAGGTCCACCAGCATGGTAGTCACCACTTCGTCCCCGCTCTCGAGGTGCTGCTCCTGCACCCAGGCCTGGAGCTTCTCGGGAGGATGATCAGAAACAGTTCCTGCACCAGCAGCTCTAGGATCTGCTCCTTGCTGTGGGTCTCAGGGCGCAGCCAGCGTTGACACAGCTCCCACAACCAGGTGAGGGCCTCGCAGGGCCCAGGGATCTCCTGTCGAAAGTGCTTTCAAATAAATTTCCCTCGCCAGGGGATTACTCCATCTCAGTCGGGATTCCTGCATTGGGAGGCGACTTTCCATCTCCACTTTCACTGTCAGCAGTTCCTCCCAGACCTCAGAAGCTTGCATGGTCCAGGGGTAAAGCCTCCTCTGAGTTTGATTCATCTTGACCTTGAAGAGTTTAAGCAGCACCTCCAACTGGAGCTATGTTGCAGAAACACCTTTGAAAGTTTCCTCCTAAGCAGTAAAAATCACTGTTAAATGTAGAAAAATGTCAACAGTAATGATGAGCACTGATAATATAAGCAACCGTCACAGACCCCAGGGCTCTTCACTGAAGGTAAAGTCACTTGGTGACCAAAGGATGGGAATAATGGGAAATACAAGGTCATAATGTGTATAAAGCATACACTTTCAAGTCACTCAGAACTCCGTTTTATTCTGGTTCTAACATTTACTAATTGTGTGAGCTTCAGCCAATTTCTTTTTTTTTTTTTTAACCTTCAGCCAATTTCTTATCTTCTTTCAATCTCAATCTCTCAACATGAAGAAGACATAGTAATAAAAATACCCTACAGCGTTCATGGCAACATTAGGGCCCACACACAATTCACTCAGAATAGTTAAAAAGCTCAGACTCATTATGTAAAAGTCAAATTAGAGAATAGATGGAAATACTGTTCTTGTCTTTGATTAATAAATGAACTTACTTTTACTTGTCTCTTCATTAGTTTTCAAAATCAACCTCAAAACAGCTGAAGTTGCTGTCATTTTTGCTGAATTTACAGAAAAGGAAACGGGTAGATTCTACTTTCTGCGAGCTTTCCACTCTGCTCTGCTGCTTCCTAAGAGCAACAGCCAACACCAACCTGGTCTACAACATTCGTCCAATACAGGGCTAGGATGATCCTCAGGAGGTTTGATAACACCACGATTTCAGGAGATAAGAAACGGAGGCCAGGGGAAGTGAGGCAGGTTGCCTAAGGTTAAGTTCTCTGTGAGGACAGTCCTCAGAATCCACACAAGCCCAGGCAGTGCCTGCGACCCAGGAAGCCTGTATGTCTGCACAACGTCAAGAAGTGCAGCCTCAAAGCTGAATTCCCGCTTGGCAGGAGCTGTGGTGGACGCTCAGGGAATTGGCACCTGGGGACGGGGTGGGTGGCAGGACAGGGAGCCCCGGGGCACGCATCTCCAACAGGCTCCCGCGCTGTGTGCGCACACCTGGGCTCCGTCCTGGGAGGCATCCTGGGGCTCAGGGACAGGGAACCGGCCCCCGGCACATCCTGCACCTGAAATCCAGTCCGCTCACAGCCCTTTAACCTGCTCTAAAAACCAGAGTGTAAGAGATTGAGCACTCTCTGCGCTTAGTCTGTCTCCCCGCCCCCCAGGCTGTTCGCCCCAACTCCAGGCGTTCCCCACCCGGGCCAACCTGGGGCCGCTACTCCCGGGGGCGCCCCTCCAGCCTCGCGAACCTCCCAGGCCCTGCCCGCGCGACGTCTCCTACCTGGGACCACGCGGCCTCCTCGGCGGCCTCTTCGGGCGGAGACTCACCTTCCACCGTCCACTCCCAGCCACGCCGGCTCCGGCTTCCAGCGCTGACTCACCGGAGCGGGATGAGGCCGGAAAAAGGGGCCGCAGAGAGGAGGCCTCCCGCCGCGCGGGGCGCTCGGGGCATAGGCACTTCTGGGCCGCTCTAGGATCCCGCGTCTCGCCTCCCGTCTCCCACAGCGGGGCACGCGGTTGGAAAGTCGTGCGCAGGCGCGCCCCCTGCACGTTTGAAACCGGAGAAACGCCTGCGATCTAGGCCATTAAGTTGAAAATGCTTATTTTTAAAACCTTTTTTTTTTTAAAGAATCTATATGATTTTTAAGAAACCTCGGCCAATGCCAAAATGAATAAAGCAAGAGATGAAATCCCACCCTGTCCTACCTTAGACGCACGGACCTGGGGTGGCCACTGTCACCGTTAGCTGGGCATTTGCGCATATAATTATCTCATTCTTACCTCTGGATAGACAGGCATTAAGTTTTTTTACAGTTAGCTTTTTCTTCACTTATTTTAACTTCTTCACTTCGCCAATCTTGGACGTCTTTATTGTGGAGGCAGAGAAAATTAAGGCCATTCCACCTTAAGTTCAGCGTTAGCACAAGTACAGCCATCTCAGGCCCCTGTGAAGAAGAGCTGCACTTTACCTCACTTCAGTTAAGCCCCATATTAGAATGAGAACAGAGCTCAAGCCAGTGGCAGGAAGCCCCTTATCAGAATGAGAACAGAGCTTAAGAAATTCCCCCACCCCTTCTGGAAATTCCCTGGACCAGCCCCTAAAACTCAGCTGGAACCCACCTTGGGGTCCAAGCCCCTGCTCCGCGGTGTGGGGTATACTTGAACCCAACCTCGAGCTTGTTAATAAACCCTCATGTACTTGCATCGGTGTCGACTCCTTGGTGGTTTCTCGGATTCGCAAACTTGGGCACAACATTTATTGGTCATGTAGATCTACTCCTTTGGTGGCACATGTATTGCAATTCATTTGTCCAGGCCCTACCTATTGATAGACTTTCCTTCTACTTTCCTTCCTTCCTTTTTTCCTTCCTTCCTTCTGCTTTCCTTCTTTTCTCTTCTTTTCCTTCCTTCCTTTGTTTTTTGCTACAAGTCACTTGGCTTTTTAGCGGTAATACAAAATCAGTCCAAAATCAACTAAATTAGCTCTATTGGTACAAAACAGCACAATTATTAGTACTGTTAGTCATCCATCAATTTTATCATGCCAATCAAAATGATGGTATTGCATAAACCATGTTTTGTTGTGCCCAAGATTGTGAATCCGAGAAACCACTAAGGAGCCGACACTGATGCAAGCGCACGAGGGTTTATTTGCAAGCTCGAGCTTGGGTCCAAGTGTACCTGACACAGCAGAGCAGGGACTTGGACCCCGAAGTGGGTTACAGCTGGGTTTTTTATGGGCTGGTCTAGGGGATTTTCAGAAGGGGTGGAGGAATTTTTTTCATTCCAATATGGGAGAAAGGGTGGGGGGAGTTTCTTAAGATCTGATATGGGTTTCTCTGCCAAGGGCCTGAGCTCTGTTGTCTTTCTGATATGGGATTCCCTGCCGAGGACATTCTGCAGTTTTTCCTATAAAGTTCAGCTCTTATTCACAGGGGCCTAAGATGGCTGTACTTGTGCTAATGCTAAACTTGGTGTGGAATGGCCTTAATTTTTCTTGGCCTCCACATTTTTTTTTTAAGATTTTATTTATTCATGAGAGACACACAGAGAGAGGCAGTGACATAGGCAGAGGGAGAAACAGGCTCCCTGCAGGGAGCCTGATGTAGGATATTATCCCAAGACCCAGGAATCACTATCTAAGCCAAAGGCAGATGCTCAACCATTGAGCCACCCAGGTGCACGCCTGTTTGTTTGTTTTTTAAGAGAACCTCATTGTTTATTTTATCACTGCAGTAGGAAAGTATCTTGCATCTTAATGTAAATTCTTTGATGGGGTGTTTTAACTCCAAAACTATAGCTTTGTAAATTTCTGTGGTTGTTTTCCTCAAACTAGCCATCTGAGGGCATTAAATAAAGTCAAGTTTCATCCTTTATTTTAACTTAATCTGAATATCTAATAAGCGTATAATCATTAAGAGTACCAGCATTAAGACACTACTCAAAATACTGATTGTTTTCTTCAACACACTCCCAAAGCCATCAATACAAACTTTCCCAACAAACTATATAATGACTGAAAATTTTCAGCCTTTCTTTAACTGGAATACAGTTCAAATACATATTCTCTTGCATTTTGGATGCCCACCTGTGACAAGTAAACCGTTTCTATTTGCATGAAACTCTCAAATGTGTCACTGATAGTTGATTAGGCTCTCTAATTGGTTCATGTGTGCTCGTTAAGTAGGTCAACTATAGCACTCAGGCAGCTTCCTCCCTAGGATGAAGTTCGACGTGTATTGGACTTCCCTGTAGTTAAACTGCTCTGAGAAACGCTGGGTCCCATTTGTCTGTTTGAAGGAAGATTCCCCTATATCACTACCTTAATGATTGTCCTGGGGCAGGAGGGATTATTTTTTACTTAGAATTGGAAATCTCTACCAAAAATATTTAAAACATACCTCAGCTCAGACAAGAAGAAATGCTGACTACAAGACTAAAAAGATTGAGTGTTATGAGAATCTGCAAGCAGATATATTGTGATATTGACTCTTTGGTGGCTTAAGTCATAAGTTAAAAAATGAGGAGGAGGAGGAGGAAGTGGATGTGGAGGAGGCAGAGAAAGGGAGAAGCAGGAGAAGGATGGAAAGAGAATTAGAGAATTGTTAACAGAGATGGAGGGAACTAGTTGGTATGTGGATAGACCCAAGTCTAAAAACATTTATGTCCCATATGAATCTTTACTAACCCAACATGGTTTCAGTAAGTGGGCAAGCTGATCTGCTCTATGGATGTCACCAACCAATTCTTTTTTTTTTTTTTTTACCAACCAATTCTAAACCCCTGATTATGATGTAATATCCCGGTGGGAACAGCCAGTCACCTGGTGGCAAGTTGATTACATTGGACTCTTTCTATGATGGAGAGAACAAAAGTTTGGTCCAAAGCAATAGATACTTGTTTTGGAAAATAAATGAAATGTCCACTCCCCCAACTGTACTTTCAACTGGATTCTTGGAATCCTTCTTTCCCGTCCTTTAATGATACTGTGGGCAGATCTCATAGCTTTCTGGTCAATTTTAAGTATTAAAGATACTACTCATTTTATTTATTTTTTAAAGATTTTATTTATTTATTCATGAGAGACACAGAGAGAGGCAGAGACATAGGCAGAGGGAGAAGGAGGCTCCATGCAGGGAGGCTGATATGGGACTCTCCCATCCCAGGACTCTGGGATCACGCCCTGAGGCAAAGGCAGACGCTCAACTGCTGAGCCACCCAGGTGTCCCTCATTTTATTTTTAATTTGAAAATATATTTCTACTGAATAAGTTATATAGCCACAGATTCAAAATTTTTACAAAAAGTACATGTGGACGGCCACGGACTAGCTAGAGTTACTAAACGAAACCAAGCTCGGACTTGTGTCCCTCATTTACTCATAAGGCTCGGGAGCCCAAAGGGTAAATAGTTGGTTGAAGCTTGAGAAAGGGCTTGAGCAATGGTTTCCGGAGCTCGCTTTTACGTGATCGCCCACATAATACAATTGATATAATGTGTTCTAGCCTGGTGGTAAAGTTAAATATGGGTCTGTGCTATTCTTACTGGTCTGTTAATCATATATATTGTCCTTTTGAAAGTGTATGTACCTAAAATAGCATGTTTATCTATAACTAGGACCCTCATGTGTCAGTAGGGTTTGTCATGCATGTAGGTATTCCTTTATTTTGTTCTGCTTGTGCTATATAATACCGTAAGAACCTGAATAAAGTTGGCGCTGCTTGGACATCATCCACTGCGTCCCTCCTGCCCCCATCTCTTTACTTTTCTTTTATTTTCCTCATCCCCTTACCCTCGGGACCCTGATCGTGTTGCTGCAGAGCATGCAACAAGTACAAAATTGGAAAATCTACCTCTAGGGATACCTGGATGGCTCAGCGGTTGAGCCTGGGAGCACGCGGAGCCCTGGCTGCTGCAGGAGGAGGAGGGAGAGCACAGGGGGAGCTCAAGGCCCAGAGGCCTGCAGGCCCCTGTGCCAGCAAGTGGATGAGCCGAGCCAGAGGACGCCAGTGTCCACAATTCGCCTGAGGACGTGGCAGACCTACTGAGACGTGTCCAAGCTGGAGGTGTGGGACTTTACACCGAGGACACGCCGGCTGAGGGGAGGGGGGAGGAGTCCCCTATACCTAGGAACTGGCCCAGCCTCCCCACCCGGAATCCCCGGAGGAGGAGCAGCATGATGGGGGTGCTCCCCACGGCAGGCTCTCCGCAGGGCTACCACCACCCAACCCAGCCTGACGCTATCCCCACACCCCCACCCCACCCCGCCGGCAGCCCAGAGGAGCCTCGGGGGCTGGAGACACAGCTGGGCAGACCCCTAGAGGGCTGGAAGGACACCCTGGACCGGGGGAAGGCCCCACAGAGCCCTGAGGCCGGCCAGAAAGACGTGCCTCCCCGCTCCCTGCTGGTGTCCAGCGTGCCCCCTCCCCCTCCCCAGGTGTGCACTTGCAGAAGGCCGCATGGGCTCCTCTCGAGCCTCAGCCTGGAAGCCCCCAGAGGTCCTGCCGTCCCCACCCCAACCCCAAACCCCGACAGCACAAGCACCCGGAGCCACATCTAGTCAAGGGTGAGAACCTGTCTCACGAGGGCACCCCGAACAATAAGGGGGCCTTCAAGAAGCGCCCGGAGGCCCGCTGGTTACTGCTAGACCAACCTGAGCACCGCTGCGTCACGGTGACTACCGCGTGCATACAGAGTGCAAGGGTGCCGCCGACCTGGCACTCCCACCACGGGCGCCCCAAGACCGTGGGCAAGAAGCCTTCTTCGACTTGGAGACCAAGCGCGCGTTTCCAACTTCTGCGCCCAGCAGTGGGTGGACCAGATCCAGAGCCGCCTGTCCGACGCCTGAGCCCCGC